AAAACTCTATGATTCTATGATTCCAGAACCACCTGGCCACAAGCTGCATGACTTCCGTGCTGTGCTCAGGTGCAGCTGCAGAGGAAAAGCTCCCGTAAACCACAAAAGCCTGTTAGCTGGGCAGAGCAGCTCAGGCACTGCCCAGGTGCCAAAGCTGGAGGCAGTAGGCTGCCAGAAGTGTGGTGGCACCCCAAAAATTTAACACAGAAGTCAGGAAAAAGTGTGCTGATGTGTTCCTGTGAAGGAACAACCAACAGGCTGAAACAGCACATTGCAGTTCTCCACTGAAATCACCAGTTCTGCTGCTTTCTCCCAGCCCTCAGCATGAAATGACCAAACTATCCAAGATTACCCATTTTGGAGCCCACACAAATTAATTCAGCAACTGCATCCCTCTCAGCTGTGGAATACTCTCTTTACAGAGGAGCTGCACTGAGGAATTGCACTCTGGTTAAAATGTGCATTTTAACATCTGAGTGTGGCACTCAGAACAGCTCCTCCAGTCACCAAGACACTCTGAATTGGCACTTTCTCATCTCCCAGTGTTCAAGCTTTTTGAAAGATTCACCTCTCCAGCTCAGAGCTTTGTTCACAAACTGCACAACCTCACCGACCATCTCCTGTTCTCCCCTCTGAGTCCAAGCTCAGCTGTTGGCTGTAATTAATCATTATTGGTGGAAAAAAGAAGGACCAGTAAGAAGTTTGAACACAGAGTGAACCAAGACATTGAGTGAGTTGGCACAGGAGGAGCAGCAGCCTCAATCACAGCACTTGACAAGGTTTAAGCCTTCTGTGACTGTGCCATGTCCTGCACTGCTCAGCACACCAACACAGCAGCATGGCATGTCCAGCGTGGCCATCAACAGTCGTGTGGCTCCTGCCCAACGCTCCCCAGGTGTCCTGGTGCTGCCAAACCACTTCCCTCTGCTCAGCAAATGCTCACAGACATGGAATGAATGGAGCAGGTTGGTGCATTCACACGACAGTGCAATATCAGCAATACAGAACATATATGAGCTGATATCTGCAGCATCAGAACACTCCAACTCCCCAAGAGAAAATCACAGAACATTATCAAGCCTAATAAATAATAGAAAGTGAACACCTCAGGCCCTAGGGACACTGCAGCAAGAGCTGTGTGTTTGGAATTTCTGAGAAGGTCAAACACCCTCAGTAAGAGCTTAAAAAGAGACAATTCTCAGACAAAATGTTACGAAAATTAAAATGATTTTTGTAATTTTCTTTTTTTTTTTTTTTGTTTTTTTTTGTTTGTTTGTTTGTTTTTTTGTAAAAAATACCAAAATCCAGCACTGTTTTCCAGCATGGTTAGTGTCAGACCTTCACCGGAGCATGGCCCACGGCATGAAGTGCTTTAGAGACCCAACAGCTCTGTGCCACGGGCTGACCCTGACACCTGCAGGTTCTGCCACCCAGGAAAGTGTGGGTGGGCAGGTGCTCAGCTCCGTGGCACAGCAGCTGCTTAGAGACTGTAGTGTATTCTGCCATTCTACAATTGCACACACAAAACACTTTCCCCCTGTACATAAATTTGAGGATGAGAAGGACACCAGGCAGAGGCAAGACAGGTTCTTAACATCACATGGACTTTTTCAGCCTATCTCCTTGATCCAAGAAGTCTCCACGCTCCCACAGGTTTGTGACAGCAGTTTTCCAGAGACAAGGTTCTCAATTTCAAGGCTGAATTCAGCCGGAGGCCAGCAACACTTGATTATTCCCAATACCCACGAGCAAAGGCTGGCAGGGAGCAGCAGCAGAAGTACTCACTGTACCAGGGCAGGGGATGCACAGTGCTGGGTGACATCGTGGGCTGGGGGAGGAAGGTCAGCAAAACTAACTCCAGCCTGGGGTCACCAGTGCCCCAAGGCTCCTTGCACAAAACATGGAGAAAGATAGGTTTCCTAAGAAAATCTGGAGCAGGAGCTGTCCTGAGCCACTTCCAAAGCCTCACTGAGGGAATCTCTCTGATTAACAGAAGAAATCCAGGAGAGAACCACCTCCTGAGGCTCCAGTTGGCTGCTGGGACACACCTGTTACCCAGACACAAATACCCTGTTCACTGAATTGCTGAGGTGTTCCTTAGCTCCATTAGCAACGAAGGTTAAAGTTAGAAGGTTTCTCTCAGCAAAAAAATATTAAATCTAAATGTTCAATCAAAACCAACACACATGGGTTGGATCCCTTCGGTGCCCAAGTCTGCCCTGAAGCCCAGGGGAGCCTGAGAAGGTAGCAGTGAAGTCACACCGAGTAACTGCCACCAGACCAGTGCAGACATGGCAGATGACAAACCCATTGGACTTCAGCTCTGACCGAGCCTGGGAGTCTCTCCTGCCTGGGAAGGGTTTCCACATAGGGCAGGATAAAGAAATGACCACTGTGCAATTAGACTCTGAATTTCCATCTGTCTGCAAACACCTATTTCTGCTCTGGAGCAAGGAACCACCATTTCTTCCCTCCTCAGACACTGTCAGACCGCGTGTTACGAGCACTTCCGAGAAGTCACACACCTGATTTCTCACAGGAAAAGCTTCACGATAATATTCGTAAATTAAGGTGAGAGACAACCTACCTTCTTAAATGCTTTAACAACAAGTACTGGAACAGAGGCATTTGAGAGCCACCTGGTCTGACCCCCACACCTGTCTGTTTGGCACCTCAGGGTTACAGAGGGGGAGGCTTTGCTCTTTCCACACACTAGACACAAAAGTTACGTTGGCTTCGCTGTTTCGTTTTTAAAGACGCGTTGACTGACCAACGCCAGATCTTCACACCCTTTCAAAATTAAATAAATAAATATGTTGCTATGCTTTGCTTTCTACACTCAACATTATTTTAAACAGAATATTCTTTTCACTGTCAAAAGGTCTACGGTTTCTTTGAAGGCCAAGACGTTCCTGGTTTCCAACGGTAAGAGCTGCTGTAGCACATTCAAGGGTAAAAGAAAGACCAAACAATAAAACCAGACACCACTGCCTGCTTCGGCTCGCTCAGGGCAACGGTCCTGTCCCAGCCCAACCGCAAAGGCTCCGAGGACAAAGACTGAGTGTGGCAGCGCAGTCTCTCCGAGTTCGTTGCCTGTTGCCTCTCTTCTCCCCTCCCACCTTTGTTTGTCACCAAATTCACTCCTTTGCCTCTTCCACAGCCTTCTGTGCTTCCAATTTGCACTTGATCTTGCTCCAGTACTCGGGTGCCACGGGAGATTTGGGGTCGTGTGCGGAGCAGCAGGGGCGGCCGTCCAGCGCCGACGGCACCAGCGCTCCCTTCTCGTGATCCTTACAGAAGGAACGGGGGCAAAACTCACAGAAGGACACGGCAGGATTGCTACAGATGTCGCACTGATGCCACGGACACTCCCACTTTCCTGGGGATGGGAGGAGAGAGAGACAGGAAGCTGGAATTAGTGTATCTCAGGGACAGCACTGGCCTCTAACCCTCACTCCGTGTTGGAATTGCTCAGATGAATGCAAAGACAGATCAGAAATATCAGCTCTTACTGTGGCTATTTGTGCTTCTCACATATAAGGATCTTACCGAAAACAGTTCTTATTTTGCATTGTTTAGGCTTTACTTGGCCCAAAACATTGCTGCATGCACAACCAGAGCTTAAACCAGTCACCTCTAGCACCAAGACACCAAATGTTCTTGCAAGATGGAGAATTTGGTCTGTACATTTTCCTGATTTGTGACCTGGACACTGCCCTGCTCAGAGGGTACCTCCAAGGGAAGCTTCAGCTCAGCCCTACACATCCTGCTGGCTCAGTCAGTGTTTGAACTGACATTTGATTTGTGCTTGGTGACTTTGGGACACCAAGATGATACTTGTGTTCCAATCAAAATAAGAGGAGGAGGTTTGATCCAAGAAAGAGGTGAAACAAGTATAACACTTTTTAAAGGATGACAAAGCCTCTGCCCATCAGTTCTATTTAGGAACAGTCACCTGATGTACTGCTACAGGGAGTGGTACTGCAAAGCAAACATGCTGCATTTGATGCAAATGAACACTGCATTTCAGCCCAAACAGTGTCTTGCAGCAGGAAGGAAAAGATGATCAGGAGCCACGTGACTGCTCTTACCAAAAGGTGGTTGAGTCAGGTTAAGGCATAGGAGGTGGTATGCTTTGGGACAGTCCTTCTTGTCACACATGACTAGCTCTCCCCCATCTCCACACTGGAAACAGTTGTCTTCATGCATGTGCTTCTGCTCTGTTTTTATTTTCCGTTTCTTCTGCTTTAACTTTGCATTCTTCACCTTCTCTTCATTTGCCGTTGCAAACGCTGTCTAACGAGGACAAAGCCACAGCACACAGTCACTTACAAACCTCTGGCACTAAAATCAGCTTTAGGTTATTATTTGCATGAACTCTGCTTAAATTAAATCCACTCCAAAAAGCTGTTAAGCTCTAAAAGCCACAAGTGCCCATCCAGATGCTTCTGAATTAAGTTTGGATTAATGAACTTTCCCCAGACACATCATCACTGCAGGGCACACTGTAAAAGCCTTAGAGACTTTCAAGGGTGGAAAGCATTACATAGGCTGAAGAATTAAATAAATCAAACCCCCCTCTTTTCCCCAGGACATGTGTGGATTTGGGAGGAAAAGCTCTGGCATCACCCACGTACCTTGGGACGCACTCCCAGGAAGCCGCTGCAGTTCTCTGCTCCGCAGTGACACTCAGTCCTGCCGTTGCCCAGGCAATCCAGATTGTAATTGAATGTTAACTCCATTCCTGAAGGTCAAAGGTAAACAATTCACCCACCCACACAGACACTGAGGGAAACAGGCAGTGACAATGGCATGACATTAGCATTTGCAATCCTAAGACCTTTCCTAAAACTGGAACCTTAATATTGTCTCCACACCAATGAACAACAAAGCTCTACAAACATCACTGGTATTAAGTAACTTCAGAGAAAAAACCCCATGATTCCAACTGAGGAACTTGGCCATTGCAAGACAAAAGTACACGTGCCAAACAGTGCCATCCTTTTACCTGCAGGGATGTCACAAAGAGCAAACAGTCCAACTCTAATGTCACCATTCACTGTCCACTTCTGTGTTTCACAGTTTGGGTTACAACTATGGTTCATAAAACGAGAGTAGTTCCCCTTTGGGCCAGCATCTATTATTCGGTCCTGCAAGGAAGGATACAAAAATGTGTTTGGCCCTCACAAATTACAAAGGTTTCCTGCTGGCCAGCAGCAGTTTCTGTCAAACAGGATACAAGACTCACCTTGGTCACAGTTAACATATAAAAGTTGGTGACGCTGTTCTCGTGGGCACGCTTGATGCGCAGCCGACACTCCTCTTCGTCAATCAGCTCCCCAACATACTCGTTCACAAACTCACCCTGCAGAGGAAGGAGAACAGAAGTAAGAAACCCATTCATCCTACTCATGCTGATAAAGGGAAGTATTTACTATGAAAATACTGTGTCCTCACAGAAGCCACTGACCTGCTCCGATAAGCGTTTTCACTACATACTTTGCTTTCATTGGGACTTTTATAGTTAACAAACTCAGAACATTTTCAGCAGCAAGGTTTTCATGAGACACAGATTTTAAAAACTTCAAATTTAATAAAATTAATGCCTAAACCCCATGTTTAAAAGTAGCCCTATAGGCCGACAGCATGTTCTAAGGGAACTGAGAAGAGCTGGGACGTGAGTGGTGCCTTGGTACAAGGAGAGGGCACTCAGCACTAGGCATCACTCCATGCAGCCAGTCAGCTGCTGGGAGGTTAAAACACAGTGCATCCACTGGACGTCCAGGGTGCAGTGCTTCCACCTAAACCCACCCCAACGGCTGTCACAGCCTTTGTCCTGGGTCACTCTACCTTTTTAATGCTCCTTTTGGTCCTGAGGCCCCAGCCCCGGCGCTCGGTTTTGATGATCTCGGCGTCGGGGTAAAGCCTCTTGGTGAAGCACTGGTTCTGGCAGCGCTCCCCAGCTGGGCACACCTGGGGGTGGCACTCGTACTGCAGCATCCTGTTCAGGCACTCTGACTCCAGCCCACACGGGTTCTCATCCGAGGGCTTGCAGTTACACCGGGGGATCTCCGACAGGTCAGCCACCTGGATCTGCACCTTCCCTATCACCTTGTTGGACTGCAAATGAAGGGGAGAAGAGCGAAGGATGAAGACAATGCACAAAGAACTCAGACTCAACAACTGACACCACGAGGCAAGAAAAGAATGATTTCATCCTGTGGCTTATGGTAGTGTAAGGCAGATCAAAAGATTCGTGAAAAGAACAGCAAAATTATTTATATGAAATTCTTTAAACTGCAATCGATGCAAATACTGGTGTAAGTACATAACTTTAAATCCCTGAATAGTTTGGGTTGGAAGGGACCTAAAAGACCATCCAGTCCCACACCTGGGCAAGGATACCTTCCACCAGACCAGGTTGCTGCAAGCCCTGTCCAGCTTGGCTGTGAACACTGTCAGTGTTGGGGCAACCACAGCTTCTCTGGGCATACTTACTCCTACATAGGATAAAAATCAAAAAAGCAAAAAGCCAACTCACTTTAATATGTTTATAGGGTGGAGGTTTCCTTGAATTCCTTTCAATTTCCAATGCCTCTTTGCTTTCTCTTTGTGCTTTCAGCTCCTGGAAACGCTTTGCTGCTTCTTCAAGTGCTGCACAGGGAGTTCAGAACAGAAAGCAATTAGCCCAGGCTGCTGCTAATCAAACACATACATGTATCTATTTACATTTATGCTTTTAAGGCTAGGAATAGAACTCCATAAACAAAAACACAAGCTAAAAATGAATTATTGCAGTTTATCATGAATCTATCAGCAGGTACTGAGATACTGAACAATGATCCCATGCAGCAGAGCCTGAGCTCCATCTCAACACCTCCCAGTTTGTGGAAGAACTGAAGTGGCCCACAACAACACACAATGAGTAGGCACTTAAAGAAACACATTTTTATCTGCATCGAGGGATTGACACAATGCTTGGATTTCATGTGAACACAGAACACTAGTCACATAATATTCCCATGCAGGTTAAGTGGTGATGGAGACACAAACACGTGGAATTTTTGTCATAAACCACTATAAACTTTGTTTGATTTTACCTTTCTTGAAGGTCTTGTTAATACTAGTTTGCCCCTCAGCAAAGCTTTTATCTCCTTCAACATAAGGGAAAACTCTGCCCTGGTGTACCCAATAGTAGTCATGTGAACCAAAGAAAAATACTGGGAAGTCCCCGATATCATGTTTGAGGCCCTGTATGTTGAGAGGCACAGACCTGGGATTGCAGATCTCTGCTGGCCACCACCTGCAGAGTAGGAGAAAAAAGAGGAGTATAAGTTCCCTGAACCAGAGCTTCCCAGTTTGCTAACGGGATTGAGAAAAAAATAGCCAGTTTTCCTTTCTCAATGAAATCAACTCCTTCCTCGCACAGCCAAGGCTCCTGCTGGCAACACCTGGGAAACTCCATGCAAAACACAAGCAAAGTTCTTGCCCCAGACTTTGGAAAGCCTTTGAAGGACATCTGTGGGCTGAGAGCAGGTTTCTGGGCTCAGCTGTCAACACCTGTATTGCTGCAGGTGACCAAAGCAAATGCCAGCAAGGACAGCTGGGCCCTAAGCCAGCCCCTGGCCTCCCACAGCACGACCTCGCTCTGCAGAGCAAAGGGGAGTGCAGCCCTGTGTCCATCTCTGTCTGGATGCGCAGGAGAATTGCATTCCAAGGGTGACATCCACGTCTGACACAAATGACTTGGGGTTGGATGACTTACTGTATTTCTAGTTCGTGTTCACAACAACTGAGCTGCTTTGCCTTCCTGCAATTCTGGAGCACATCAAACCCCCAAAGCACAGAAACCCCCAAATGGTGAACTTGCCTGTAATTCCCAAGCTTGACCCAAACGATCTGCTTGTACCGCAGCTTCTTCCCAGCTTTACAGTCATTGCAATTCCAGCATCCCTCAGGCATTTCTATGCTGAGACACTCGGGGTGGAAGGAAGCTGGGCAGGACTCACAGCACAACAGTTTGCCACCTTGAAACAGAGAAGCCCTGCTTGGTTTGTAGAAGTCAGGATTTGCTCCCCCCATGCACAGCAACTGACATTCACTTTTAATCATCTATGTTCCCACTTCCCCACAGAAACTGGCAAAAGAAAGGGATCAAGTCACACTTGACAATGTTGGTTAAAAAAGACTGTGCAGGGCTTCACCTAAGGGCAAGTGGTGACTCTGAACCACACCAGACACACAAAAAAGCAGCTGCAGATTTAAACGTGAGCTGGGTCGGCAGGAAGAGCACCATTCCCCAAGGAAGCACTGCAGCTGAGAGCAGTGCTGCCAGCTTTCAGCTCTTTGGTGATGGCCAAAACAACGACAAAACCCCACATTTTTAAGAGTTCCTTTTTCAATCAACATTGTTCTGACTGAACCCCCCAGCAATCCTCAGCAAGCACCAACCCCACAGCCTATAGGTTGATCAATGCTTTTCTGCAGCAAGGACAGGAAGAATTGTAGACAGTGTGTCTATGCCACAAAAAGAAGTTTACCAGGATGAGCACAGTACATGAAGTAGAATGAGACACACAGGTTGTTGCTATCCCGAAGGTCCTGGAGGGAACCTCAGCGCGGGGTTCACGGGAATTTCCGAGGTTTACACTCATTTGGGCAAAAGCTGTTTTGTCTGGCTCACATTTTGTCAGCTGTGGAGAGCCACAGCACATCTCTAAGCCACCCTCAGCACAGCAGCTCAAACAGCAACATTTGATTCCTTACACATATTGTCATATTTTATATATCTAAGTATATAAAATATATATTTCACATCGGTATTAACAAGTTTGTGTGTCCCAGATGGAAAATCTGGGAGAGACTTCAGAGTGTTTAAAAGCAATTTTCACTTTCAAACCTGTATCAGAAAATCTTGTCCACCTATAGACTCCCAAAATATCATTGCATTAACTGATTGTTGCATGTCACAATGAGCATTCCTTAAACAAATCACTTGCATGACCAACACTGTATTTCCTCTGCTAAGTCCAGTCAAATCCAGCCACATGGATTCTCCACAGCTCCCCAAACCCATAACGGAATTTTTAAAGTATGTTTTTTTCAAATGTTATTTCAGAGGAAATACAGACCTGGAGTAAATTACTGAAACATCATCCAAGATGGGAAAATGCCAAGAGATGCAAAAATCAAACAAAATCAAACACAAAACTGTCAGTGCTAAGCAAGAGAAAACCCAACATTGCTCTGGGGATGCATTAGGCAGATACGGCTCAAGCTAAGCACAGGGCTCAAAATAATTCTTGTTTTCCAGAATTACAGGACTACTGAAGCCACGGATCTAGCAACGCTCAGAACGGCCTAACTCGAGCTGGGGAATGGGGCACCGGCTGGGAACGCTCTCAGGGAACCAAATTGCTGTGGGGAACAAAATATGACATCAGAGTACTGGACACAGACAGCAGGAGAGGCTCAGCACGCCCAGCAGCAGGAAGTGACCCCTGCCCAGAGCAGAGGGGTCAGAGCCTGGCTGTGCTGAGCACTCGTCCTGTGGGGAAGGGGCACTACTGTCTCGGTGGTGGAGGTGGGACACAAGGCTGAGGGGCTGGTGGGGACACACACAGGCCAAACATCACTGCCCTCCCCCTCTGGATGGACACAGCACCCACCCTCATCCAACCCCAAACGTCCTCTCTTCTCTCAGGCTATGCATGAGACCCGAAACAGCACATCCCCCTCCTCTTCCATAGGATCAGAGAATTTAAGGGTTGGAATGGACCTTACAGATCATCCAGTCCCAGCCCCCTACCCTGGGCAGGGACACCTCCTCACTAGATCAGGTTGCTCAAGGCTCATCCAGCCTGGATTGAAC